GATACCATTCATTGACATTAAATGTAAATTGAACTATGACATGTGGATACCATTCATTGACATTAAATGTAAATTGAACTTTTGTTGTTCTTTTGTTGTTTACAAGGAGACCCTATTAGTAGTTATAACACTATGGTAAAAAAGAAGTTACAGTGCATTCAGTCAATGGAACTGACCTACTTATTGTCTAAAGTATTTAACCATTAGTCTGACAGACAGTCTCATTCTCCTCTCTGTACGTCTTTTTACCTGCTTCATCATTTCTTGGCCTTTTACACATAAGGCAGCAGTCACAGTCTGTTCTCCTAATTAGCCACAAGTTACACCAAGAGCAGATGTTGTAGAACCAATGTGTGTTTCTCCAGTGGCCACAGTGTTTAAACTAGGCCTTCTCCTAATTAAACATGATGTGTACTGATCTGCCACAACATTAAAACCGCCTGCCTAATAGTGCGCAAGTCCCATTGTGCAGCCAAATACAGCTCTGCCTCATCAGGGCATAGACAGGAGACCTCTGAAGTTGTCTTGTGTTGTCTGGCATCGGGACATCGGCGGCAGAACCTTTGGGTCCTGTGGGTCATTTCAGCGCATCTTGCAAATTCTTGATTAAATTGGGATCTGGGGAGTTTAGAAGCTGAATTAACACCTTGAGCTGTTTGTCATGTTCCCAAAGATGTTTTGGAGCAGTTTTTGTGGTGTAGCAGGGTGAACTATCCTTCTGGGGAAGGCCACTGCTGTTGCCATGTGTGTGGTGCTGATTTGCAACAATGTCCAGGTGGGTGGCACGTGTCAAAGTGACAGCAACATCAAAGCCAAGGACCCAAGGCTTACCAGAAGAACACTGCATTGTAACGACATGATCAATGTCACTCGTCGGTGGCTTTCATGTTGAGGCTGACCAGAGTAAGCATTTAAACAATGCAATCTATTTTCACTCATGCCAACTGCCCTACGCTGAAGAACATTTTTTTTGGTGGAATTCCGATACTGCAAACTACACAGCAAACAGCATTTAACTTCACAATGACCGAACATTCTCTTCCCTAACCAGAAACTTGCTGCTAGTTGCTTTTACTGTCTTGCTAAACCAAAGTAAATTGGTACTGACACTTCAACCTGGAAAAGAAGGGGCCTTCAGTGGTTATTGACTAAAACCTGTCTGTTGATTGCTTAATGCTCTTAGTTGTACCTAAAAACTGAATATATGATGTGTGTCTATCACATCCCTTTTAAAAATACATCCTCAGGACATTTGAGGACTGCAAGTCATTTAGTGGTAGTATTTAACCTCTTCAGGTGCACGACTAAAAGAAAAATTCAAACAGCCTCGTGTCATTCAACATTAGATGAACATTCGCATATTTTTGAAATTAAAGAACATTTGTTGGGTCAATGTATTTGGTCAGGATTGGCTTAGATTGTTGAAGATTGGTTGGTCCCAAGAAGTGGGAGTGAATTGATTGCTCTCCCCTGATGTCTGTGATTTTCCTCCTGTGAATTTCTTCTTCTCCACTGCAGGTTAGTTAACTTCTGTCCACTTTACAGTCATTAATGTGAAAAGTGTCACCCTACTAGTTATGAAGTAATGACTCTGTCCAACTGGACATAGAAATTAGTTTAGAGTGACTATATCGATAATTGACACAAGTGTATTGAAAATTATTTGCAAAAGGAAGTAATATGTATTAATGTTCCAATATTTTGTCCCAACCCTATTTCTAAATGATTGATAAGGCCAAGGTTTTGCGTAACTGTCTGGCAAGTAAGAGAATTGTTTGGAGCAACACAAAACTAGACTGCAGTAAGGTGAAGCACTGGAGCAACAAGTCTGTTTCCAAATCCACATTTGTGACATGGATAGATAATTCAGTGAGTGACATGGTAAAAATATAAGCCTGAGACTCAGCATGCGACAAATAGCTCTTCTACTCTGAAGTCAAAGCCCATCAGATTGCTCACAGCTGCTTCAGCTTAGCACTTCAATCTAGTCAGATCTCTCCTTCGACTCAGAGGAGATAAGCGTTTATTTCCTGTGTCTAAAAATACTCTGATGTGCTCTGAGAGTGTGGAAATACAGAATTGGCCTTCACAACATGTTGAACACATGGGCTCTGATGCCATCACCCATGAAACCCATTCATTACCTATTGCGTCAATTCAAAAATACATGGTCATCAAATTGGACTTAGAATGGCTTTGTATTTTTTGAAACGGTGTAATTTTACAGTTTATCAGAGCTGATCTACTTTAAAGAACAGGATGTGCGTAACTGCCTTTTATAATCAGTGCAGATATTATTCTTTTGAGCGGTGATACGCAGAAAATACTGAGAAAATGATCATTTCAACGCAGTCAACAGTGAAGAAAAAAAGGGTCTGGTGCCTCATTACCCTGGAAAAAAAAGATCAATAAGAACAAGAAATTAGATCAAGTTAAAAGAAACATATAAAAATTCTGGCCTCAGTTGCTAAAAAGACTGTCCAGCTATACTGCTTCAAAAATCACTCCAGCGTATCTTGAGAGAATTAATTAGTACAAAACTAAGAGCGTGAGCTACAAACATGCATGGTTAATTATGCAACTGCTAATTTATTTGCCTAACTGTCTAACTTATTATGAGGGTGGAACATGTGTTGTTGTGTGTGCAGTTGGACTGTACTGCTCAGCAGCTGGGCTGCTCAGACTGCTTTAAGGGTTTTAATCTCTGCCAGCTACTGGAGCAAATTGGTCTGCAGGGCCTGGAATAAATCAGTGAGGCTACTGCTGTGTTCCAGGGCCTTCCATTTTACACTGCACATCAGAAACACTGGAGTTTTACAATGGTTGTAAGCAAACTTTAAATGTTTGTCTTTTATCGTGTGTTTTTAGCAATTCCAAATATTCTTGCATGACATGACAAAGGCTGCTGCCCTTAGTTATAAGGACTTGTAATACAATATTCCAAGTTACATCAATGTGAAGTGCACATGTGGTTGCTGACAATGCATTATGATACCATATAATTATTGCCAATCACAAAATTAAACTAAGCTTCACAATGGTAGATCTAGCTACAGAGCAGGGAATATAATGTACATGAGTTCCAGAGAGTCAGGCAGTTACAGCAAAACAGTACACATGCTTATGCTAAAAAGAGAGTATGTTGGAGTTTATTTTCTACTCTGATTGCATGGGTGTGTATTCTTATCTTGTTTATGATATTTTTTATCTTGTGATTTATGTTTTTTGTCAAATAAAAATACAATGATGACAGTAAATCATGCATGTTTTTACTCCGCTGGTTTAGCCAAGCGGTAGTATGCTATGCCAGTATGAATACAGGATGTTTTTCTGTGGCTCGACATGCTGTGTTTTCGTGCTGTGAATGAACTCAGTCATTTCACTCTTCTAATATTTTGTGAAGTGAGTTAGTAACATAGTTAAACAATTAATGAGAGAAGGTCACTAATGGTAACATAATTACTGTAAAGTCCTAAAATTAGATGCAGTACTAAATCAAATGGAACAGCAGGCTGCTTGTTTGTCAGTCTGGAACACCAAACACTGACTGCCACATGGTGAGTCAAGGTTTCCATCCAGTCAAAAAGTATGAGAAGTATTTACATGTTTTTTTGTTCAGTTTTTCTCATGACAGTTTTTAGCTATGACTCATTTGTGCCTATAAACAAACTTTGAGAAGATAATATGTGACTTATGGTGAAGGTGAATGACTTGGTTGATTGTGTTATGACATATAAGATACAAAACAAGCTACAGACGAGGTGGCAGTATGGCACACGCTGAACAATATGGCCAGTCTGTGATCTGGTGCAAGCTAACAGCAGTTTTGTTACAGGTCAATACCCCCGACTGCAGACCATTTCAGCTTAATGGGACTGGCTCTTCTCCAAACCACATGTACAGTGTGTGAACTACAAGCCAGACATAGACAGAAGGGCAAAACTGGGATCCAACTTTTATTGGGACAGATAAAGTGTCAAAATAATAGGAAAGAAACCAGCAAGGTTTCAATTCTTTTCAAGTAATAATTCTCCAGCACATTTCTAGGACATCTTTAATCTTTTAGCTATGGTATTTTAGATGGAGATGTCATCCTACTACCAGGCTACTATTTGTGGAAGTCTCCTTTAAAATATGCAAGAATCTGCCACAACCATGCCACTTTAAAAAACCCTGACATTTAACTTTGGGCTTGATAGACTCTCTTAACACTTTAAAGCAGATTTATATTCATAAAATGTAATTTCATGGGAGCACAAAAACGGTGATTTCACAACTTTTTCTCATCTACATCACATTGGACTGGGTCTAGACTGTCTAATCTTGACCTGATGAAAAGGGAGAGCTGATCTTTGATTTATATCTATTGTAATTTTTTCTGGATAAAGAAAAAACAGTCAAATTAACCATTTTAACTTTTTACATATGAACATTTCACAAATATGAAAGTGGTTGTAAACAGCATTAGGTCTTTAAGTGGATGTCCAAGACTTTTCATAGCAATATGACTGTTCATGGCTACGGTTCAATAGTGATTTTATTCAAACTTTTGTTTTATTTACAAACCATACACTGTCTCCCCCAACCTGTCATGGCTTGAGTTGTATTCAGAAGCTCACAGCTTTCACATTTGAGCCGTATACTCTCACCGTTGTCATTGTAACTTCATCTCTCTCTGTTGCCCTCAGCAAAAAATGTCAAAAGTATTTTTCTGGGAAACATAATATTCTCAGGGCACTGCACTGTTTCATTCATTTCCCATGTGTTTTCCATGGCTGGAACTGTTTCTAAGTTTTTCAGGACATGTGGGAACAGTATCCAGGCCTGGCAACCTACACTGAAGGAACACTCTGGAAACCAAACAGCACAAGACTAGGTTGTATAATGTCTTATTGTGAAAGTGTGACCAAAACCTCAATATTCGATCAGCCTGATTTCCAACAGCATTACAAAAAAACTACTGAATGAAAGGAGAAGAATGCCGTATATGTAACACTCACTCTTTGCAGGCGCTGGAGACGTGGGCCGGTACAGTGTATTTACAGTCCATGATCATAGTGAGGGTCTCACTGTCATTAGCTTCCTGGAACGGTGGCTGGCCGCATACCAACATGAACAGGATCACTCCAAGACTCCAAATATCTGAGGGAGAGAAAAACACAGAAAAACATTTTTTTTAATCCAAACACAAGTTGTTTTTTTGTTATAATAGCAAGCATCATCCAATCATTTCCAAATATTACTAACTGGGCTGGGTACTGAGCCCCGGTATAAAAGGAGCCCTGGGATGAAATTTTTAAATACTGGAGGATCGATAGGCTTCGATGTTAGTGGTTCTGTTAATGGTACTTTAGAAAGTAAGAAGATCGTTGTGTTGCATATTTTATCTCATAACTGTAAGACGTGTCTGATGTTTATGTGTCTATGATGCACTTTTGCTTTCCAAATCCTCAACAGAGCTACAGAACCCAACAGACAGAACATCAGGTGTGTTCAGGGCAGAGCAGCTCTATAGCAAACACAGGTGACCAACATTCAGTAGTGTGATTAAACCTCTTCATCAACTTAACACTACAGTTGATGCAGAAAATGTTTGTTGCCATAAAAGTAACAAGTCGTTTGCGTGTTAGAGCAGAAACACTCTCAATCTGTCGAAACATTCAGTAAAAGTTCATCAGACTATTTGACTGCTGAGCTCATAGTCCATCACTAACCACGTATGATATGTTTTCTAGCAGCTCGAACACGGAGTTAATCAAAATGAATGAACATTGGCTACTGATTAAAAGTAAGTATTCTCCAGCTGTTTGCTTAACTGTCTGTGGTTATAAATTCAGTCAAGGTGGAACTTTCAATTCAGATATAATGCTGGACAGTTTAATGAAACACATTGCAGAATATTATATTTTGTGAGCAAAACCTGTGACCCTGTCCACAGGGCTCTGATCACCCCATGAACACAACATTAGTGTCTATATACATTTTAATTATTGTACAGTACGTATGAGAAAATCAAGTAATCTTTATTCTCTTCTTAATTTTTTTTTGCTCTTAAAAAAACAAAACAAAACAAAAAAAACAAACAAACAATATCAAAAGTGATGATAAGAATATTGTTAAAGTACCTGATCAATAAGCAGTATTGGTAAAAGTAGTAGTACGGTTAAAACCTGAACAATACCCATTCCTAATCACTAACACGTCTGTTCAGCCAGAATGGAATAATATCACAATATTCTGGGCCTCAACATGAACTGTGTTCAGAGCTGTACTTTCCTTTTCTCCTGAAACATATCAACTAGTACACTATTGCTACAAAATATGAACAATGTCTCCATGACACGAGTTATAGTAACTAAACCTGTATATACATATAAAAGAACTTGCTGCTGATGGAAATGGTCTGCCTCCTCATGCATCCTCAACATATTTTAAGGTGCTAAAACATAAATGAAGTAGCCTGCTGAAAAAGATGAGATATAAAGTTAAACTGTAGTACATGGAATATACTTGTGTATCTTTTAAAAGTCCAAACAGGACTTTTAAAAGATACACAAGTATATTTGTTGCATATTTGTTGTGTAGAAGTGTTTTTCAAATAGCATTTTTACTTTGTATATTGGCGACTATGCACTCGTCGATCACTGAAAGATGCTTATGTAAGTTTATGTCCAATGACAGCTGATATATTTTCACTGACATCACTTAAATTGATGCTTGAGTGGGGAAGGCGTCTCCATGTTTTTTTTTTTTCTCATCATCTCACTCTTCTTATGTCTTAGGAAAGGATGACTATGATCGGAAAGATCCCATTGAACGGAAACAAGGAGACAATTAAGGGAAGTGGGATGTACTCTAGACAATCTGGTAAACAACAGTGATGGAGGGAAGTGTAAGAGGTACAGTAAATCAATCTGTTCTTTCTTGTCTTGTTCCCCTCCCATTGCTGCTCTCCCACAGCACTTCAATGCAACCTGTCATCTTCACAGGTGAAATATAGACTTCTGTTCACCGTCTTTGCACAAAGGTTATGTCAGCGCGTTTGTGTGCACAAAATGTCCACTTCACTGAAACCCAAAACATGCTGTCATGTACAACACAATCATGCACGTATGGGTGTATAATGAATGTCAAGTCAATTCATCTGTGCATGTGTATGTGTGTGCTTGTTCAACTGTGCATATCTGCACTTGCTAGTTGCACCCAAAGAAGGCAAACTGTCAGCCTGAAGAAGCAATGGGCAGTACAGACTTTATGCAACCAAAAACACATGTATGCACACATACACCCACATCTTTTGCTCCAGCAGTGGTAACAGAATCAACAGCAGGAGGGTGAGAAACAGCTTCTAGCGTGGAGCTGGGACAGTAAACACATTCCCCTCATATAGTATACAGTGTTCTCCATCTCTTACACACTTGCAAACACAGGCAGGTATTTAAACAAGTTCACTAAACACATATTCAAGTACAAACAGTGCAACTATAAGTTCAGCCATACCCATATAATCACACACAAACATTTCTAAATTAATGTGTAACATTTCCATCTCTGATTCCCTGTTCAGCAGAGAAATGGAGCCAACTCAGGCTTGAGGGAAAAAAAAAACATCACTGCAGCTAGTCTGAAATATTGGCAGCTCTGAAGTAATTACCATGATGAGGATTTTTAAGTAACTTTCTAATTAAGCTCAAATGCTCAGATGCCCTTAACGCTTAAAGGTAGAGTCAGTGATTCTTGTCCAATACACTTTATGTCAAATTCAGTGAATATCTCTCACAGTCTGCTAACTGTCTGTTATCTTTGACCGCCTCGGTGCTGTAAATGGGAAACAAACAAAAGGAGTACAGACCGATCCACACAACACAAGTTCAGCCAAACAGCAACAGTTAATGCTCCTGCACAGGACAGGAAGTGCAGAGGAGATGGGGGAAAGAGGGCAGCCAGAGCAAGAGAGAGGTTAGATCTGGCACTTGCTAATTCCACAACATACTGAACTCCATGGTGAACTTCACAACATAATTGAATTATCAAGAAGAAGAGACAGACAGTGGAGAGACCTTGTAACTGTGTGCAGCTTGTGTGCTGGCTCTGGGAAACTGTGTCATCCTCGTAAACTCTGTATCATGTCCAATGTTTGAGGGTTTTATAGCCACAAAGATCTAAAAACACAAGTTTGTCAGTCTTGCATAGCCACACCTTTCTCTACAGCGCTGTGTCAGTGCTCATTAACACACTGTCTTGTGTGTATTTCTTCAAACCAATCACAACCATCCTGAGCAGTGTGAAGCCTAGGATACAGCAATGGTGCTCCTGTAAAATGATGATGGGGGAATTGTTTTGGTGAAACACTTGCACACAGTGAGACGAGCACTTTGATTCAAAATGCTAACTCACTGAAAGAACCCAACAGTCCTGTCTTATTCTGGGTGGGTGGGAAGAAGTTGCCAACACCCCCCATGCCCCTCTACGCTGTCACAGATTTCTGGTGAGAACCCTGAAGTGGAAGTGGAAATGGCAGATTCACCAGAAGTGTAAATCAAGTGAGTACAAGATTGTTGTTGCATCATCATTATTTGGATTGAAGCACAATTTGAAATGCTATGCTAGTTAACATTTCCTTCCTTGTACAAACCCATGGTCCTTTCCAAGACACTGTAGTTTTGTGAAAATCTGCACAATGAACCCTTGAGAATATTTTGCAGTGAAAAGTGCATTTGTTTTGATTCCATTTAACACTGCAATCTCTGTTTTGCTTCAGACTTGAGAAAAAAATCCTAACGCTCCTGTAGTGTGAGCCTGGCCTAACAGTGATGCATTCTAAAATGAGGGGCTCCATCTTTAGAACTAATTTAGTTTGGATAGTATCAGCATTGCAGAACTTACCCTTAGGCGAAGCCGTGCTGTGCATAATTAAACTAATTGAGTGGCCATACAGAAAGGGAACAAAATAAGCTGGACTAAGTGCTTTTAAGAGCTCATATTTGAAGAAACAGCTCACGTAATTGAATGTTAAAGCTTTGTTCGGTATGAATTTTAATACCATCCATCAAATTTAACTCAGGGCACACCTGTGTTCCCCTAACATGGCTGACTGACACTACTGCTGTAGTCGATGTTTGCAGAGCCATCCCAGGCTCTTGTCTGTCCCAGCAACCAGGGTCAAGGGTCCGCTACATTAAGCACAGTATAGTATAGGAGAGGAGTGTCCCTCGGGCGTGTTTTATACCAATTTACCCATGTTCACTCAGCAGTAGTGAAGTAGCGAGGAAATATAAACAATGGAAACAGCAAGCATACAGCAGCAGCTGCAACAGACAGTGGTCCACAGTTACAGGCTGCCCTCTGACAGCAGAGCCCCCATGAGCAAAACACAGGCTATGTAGCAGTTTAGAGGATAATTCCTGTTATTCTGTCTGACTTCCAGATGGCATTTGTTATGAGAGTAGGCAAAAGTGAAAGGCATTAATAACACTGAGCCACTGCTAAAGCTTAACAAATGGGGTGTTACAGGACAGCAGAAGCTGCTAGTGATTTTTTTATTCCTGAAATGAAAATGCATCAGCACGGTCACTGTGTGTCTAACCCCATTCACAAAGTACCTGCAATGGTTTGACATGGTACAAATTTGTAATGGCTATTAGAGAACAGAACAAGCATTTCATTTTAGCCATGTTAATGGACTGAAAAGCTGCAAGAGTGCGAGATGATAAAACAATGTGTACTTCTACATATCAAGCACCAATGAAGTCTTTAGCTAAAATGGTGAGGCAGATTTATGTTGGTGTAAAATACATCACAGGGCTTAACAGTGTCACATCTGGAGTACTTTGGTAACCTAAAACAGCTCTCCCTCAGCTTGTACTAATGTCTCCTCACCTGCTGAAATATTAACAGAACATGGATGTTGTGAAAGGTTACCTCGGCATGACTTCAGCGTATCAGCTTGCTGTTCAGTGTACCAATTAGGTCTCCTCAACATGCTGACACACCCATAATCATGCTATGTCTCTGTTTTCTCACTGAGGAAGGTTGTAGCTAGGTGTGTCTCAGCTAGGACATATTACAGCTTGTAGAAATCTCACCTGAGTTCTTGTAAATAACAGTAGATGCTTCAGCTGGACAGCTAAACATAGGCTTTG